CTGCTGACTATCTTTTGTTGTAATATACCAGCCAGTGTACTATATAACAAATTTAGATATGAACTTTAAAATCCCACATGTCTAAAAGTTACACAAAATAATTTTACCACTACTACTCTATGGAAGCCTTTCTAAATTCTTGTTTTAATATCCTTAAAGAGTAAATTGGTCATTTAAGTGCTTGTGAGACATGTACTTCATGTACACATAGTAGTACAGTCATGTGTGGCTTAATGACAGGATACATTCTGAGAGAGGTGTTGTTAGGTGATTTTGTCATCTTGAGATTATCATAGAACTTACGCAAACCTAGATGGCATAGTACTATATACCAAACCTGTGTGGTATAGCCTGTATGCTCCCTGTGGGGCCGCCATTGAATATATGGTCCATCTTTGACTGATGTGTTATTATGTGGTGCTTGACTGTATTTCTAAGATGGAGGATTTTTTTTTTTTCCCAGTGGAAAATTCAAGTATAACTGATTGGATAAAGAAAAAAAATTCTTCTTTTTTATTTTACAGAATGATTCATTTCTTATTGGAGGCTTATTGAGAATTGGTTATAAAATAGAAAATGTAAGTGTTACACATGGGAACCCAACATACACTGTGAATAAACGGTAGTCGTCTCACTGCTCACTTCCCCAGGGACTTAGTCCATGCATTCAGTGTTTTATTTACAGTATTTGGTGGTATCAGTTCTTTCATCTTGTTTATGTGATTTCTTTTGGGAGGTTGCCATCATTTTATTATTGTACTCATGTATTTTAGTGTAATGTTGAGCTTTTATTTTTCTTTTAAAAATTATTTTCCTGGTATCTCTTCCCCCTAGATTAAATGATTAGGTCCCTAGTATGAATATCTCTTAGTATATGATCACTGGGTAGTCTCCAGATAAACAGCTTTCTAATGCTACTGGGGACATAAACCATCTATCCATTTCCTTGATACCAACATTGATAATAAGTCCGCCGTTTAATTTCAGAAGTTGTTTTGGACACAAGAAATAAAAGCATTTCTGTGAACTCTCAACCTTTTATGACTGTTACTGATCTACTGCCCATTTACCCAGCCCCTCTCTCTTCTTGTTTTATTTCCTTCTTCTTTTTGCCACAGATTATGTAAAATATGTGGTGAATCTTAATCCATATCTTTAACCTTGGGGTAAGGAGGGAAGTCCTAGTTTAGATGACATCTGAGAACTCTTGTCCACCTTATTTATTATACTCTCCTGCTACCCAGGGCAGCCTTTGCAACTTGTAGACAGCTCCCAGGTCTGTAATCATTGCAGAAGCATTCTGAGCTCTGAAGGTGGCCTGAGGTTACCTTACATGAGTTAACTTGTTTGTCAGAGTCTGGCTCTTCTAGGCTTCATGCTGGCGTAACAAAAATATGGGGTTATACATGTTTTATATTAAGGATCTGTAATACTATACAAGATAAGTTTATAATGCCACACAGAAATTTAGAATTAATACCCAAATTCCGTTTTGTTTATTTTTTATTTTTATTTTTTGGTTCCTCTTTTTAAACAGAAAATCTTGGCAATGGAAGAAGCTTTGAACTGGGTGAAATACACAGGCGATGTAACAATTCTACCTAAATTAGGATCACTTGACAATTGTTGGCCTATGTTAAGTATTTTCTTTACTGAATGTAAGTGCTTTAAGTTGTTACTTTGTTTTTAAACATAATATTTGGGAAAAAGGAAGAAGAGGTAGTTATTTGATTTATGATTTATCTTAAGACTTTATAAAATGATTTTTCTGTGTTCTGTAAGCTTGAATAAGAGAACTTTAACCTTGTTATTAGTTTTATTCTGTACTTCCAGTCATAATGATTTTCAGTGCCACTTTTAAAATCCTACCTTATGGAACTCAACATTTATAAATTATTAGATGCAGTATTCAAAAAGAACATTACTGGGTCTCATGTAGTCTCATTCATAAGAAAAAATAACAGAAGCTAAGACTATGGTTTTCATTTTCCTGATAAATTTGCTGTTCCTTTATTTATGGACAAACTACCTTACATATTGTTTTTGCTTTGTGAAATATTTTTCTTTAAAGCATTTGAATGTGAAGGTTTTTATAGTATAGTTGTAGGTATCTTTTTTTTTTCTTTTTTTGGAGAAGTTTTTTGTGCTATAGGGCGCGTGCGCTCGCCAGACAGACAGAGAGATAGAAAGCGAGAAATCATCCCCTAGGGGGGATGGCCACACCGCAATCCCTTCTCCTCCATTCTCCTCTTGGGATCTTGGGCACGCACGCACATGTGCCCGGCATGAGTTTTAAACCACCAGGTCCGGGACTTGAACCACGGTCGACTAACGTGGGAATCCAGGGACATACCATTACGCTAACTGCTGGTCCCAGTTGTAGGTATCTTGAAACAGAAAATGTTTGGCTCTTTAGGAAAGGATGACTGATAATACATCTCCTGAAAACACATTTTATACTAGTGGCTTAAGTGCTAGGACGGAAGGAAGCTAAAACACAGATCCTTCTGATAGATATATTAGACACCAGCGTGTATTAAACCGATAGAAGTAATTTTCATTGTTTTGGAGCCTTTAATTATAGCCTGTTTTATGGTGCAAGTAGACAAGTGATAACATTTATTGGTGTGAGGTTGTTTCTGATTTTCTCTTTATATTCTCACTCTTTATAGTAGCCCTACAAGGTGGCTGTTAACTGTCCCTATTTTTTAAAGAGAGGAGATTCAGACTTTGAGAAGTTAAGTGCACAACTGCAGTTCAGTAGGTAGTAGGTAAACAGCAGTTTGTAGGTAGTAGAACCTAGATAAGAAGTCAAGTGTCTCTGATCTCAAAACCAAGGTTTTCCTCCTCTACTTACTCTTTTCTATAATATTACTTTATTTGATGGCCTTCTCAGATCCTTTCTTGAATCTTAAATTTTAGCTATTCCTTTCACTATAAAAATTAAAGTATTTGATAGATGTTTAAAACTTCAGTTTTTCCAATAAAATTTTTTAAACCATTATTAAAAGAATTATTTTTTGTATAACAGCTTAAAATGCAGAAAATTAGGCCAGACAAACTTTTTACATGAAGTTTGGTTATCTACTGCATTTTCATTAGTTTATTGAATTTTTATAAGACTAGTCATATCAAATAACCTTTCATCATAACATTTCATTCATGAGATTAAAAAAATTGAATAAAAACAGTTTACATTCTTCATTTGTTATTTTAAAAACATTTTAGAAAGTGGTTTTCAAGATTTTTGTTTTCATGCATTTTTTAATTGAATACTGACTGGTACCTACACCATAGGTTGTTTGTTGAATTGACTTGTGTAATTATGAGGACTATTTGGAATATGTTATAACAGCATTCGTTGCTTCTACAAGTACAGCTAATGTGATTAATAAACAAGTTTTTTTTTTTGCTAGAAATAAAAATAGAATAGAGTTACAGCAGGGAATAAATCTGATGTTTTCTGTACTATTTTATCAGCAGTTTATTTTTAATGTATTATGTAATACATATAAAAGATTAGAAGAAGCATATACTAGTTAGAAGGTATAATGATATATAATGAACTTTGTGTACTTACCTACCTAGCCTCAGAATTAGAATGTTGCCAATACCAATTTTTTTTTAACAAATGGTCTTTCTCACTCTCTCCTAATAATAAAATTTAGACAAGTATCACATAACTAAAGTTGTAACAGAAAACTGCAATTTGCTTGAAGAATTTAAAACTCAAAGTTGTGCGGAGTGTTTAGAGGTGAGGATAAATGTTTACTTGTAAATATACTTTAAGATTTGCCTTATATTGAAGATTGGCAAATTTTTTTGTAACAGCTTTATTAAGGTGTAATTCACATATCATATCGTTTACTCTTAGGAATGTTATTTTAACATTATTTAAAAAGGATTTAAGGGGCTGACCTGGTGGTCTAGTGGTTAAGTTCCTGCCTGGTGGGGGCCTGCCAAATACTGCATTCAATGGGAACTTGTTTTTAATTATTAGACTACAGTTTGAATCCTGGGTTGCAACTTGAAAAACCCAACCCAACAGTATGGAGAAATAGAGGAGAAGGGATTGCAGTGTGACCATGCTCCACTAGAGGGTATTTTCTCCCTCTATGGGGAGCACATGTACTTGCTAGCAATTATAAAAATAAAAGATTTAGGAATATATTTCATGTCTTCTTGAATTCTTTAAAGCCATTGATATATATTTTTTTTACTTTATTTTAAAAATTCAAGTATTTGAAGTGAAAGTTTTGATTAGCTCTGAAGCACCCTTCATATACTTCTCATTTCATTTTTGTTTCTCAAATAATCCCTAATCAACATAGCTTATGTTATTAATTTTCATGTATCTTAAGAACTAAGGTTTTTGAATAATACCCTATTTAATAGCCTAAGTTAAAATTCTACCTCACAGCTATTTTTTAACTGTCATACTTTATTGATAAGGAATATGTAAAAATGGGCCTGCCAAATACTGCACACAATGGGAATTTTCTTTTTAATTACTAAAGGGCTTGTGTGCTTATCAGAGAGAAAGAAAGAGAGGGAGAAAGCATCCCTCAAGGGGGCATGGTCATACCACAATTTCTTCTCCATTTCTTCATCCTGTTAGGATTTCGGGCACACATGTACAGGCACCTTGTGGGTTTTTCAAGCCTCCAGGACTTGAATTCAAACCATGGTCGGCCATGTGGAATCTCGCTCCCTTGACCACTAGGCCATGGAACTGACTCTTTAATTTTTAATAGTCCTTTAACAAAATTAGTGTTGAGTCATTAAGGATAGGGTTTGAATATATATAATATATATGTGTGTGTGTGTGTGTGTGTGTGTGTATATATATATAATATATGTATATATTATATATGTGTATATATTATATATGTATATAATATATATGTATATATTATATATATGTATGTGTATATATAATATATATGTATATATATTATATATATATTCAAACACACATACACACACATATACCAAAATATTGAATTACTACATATTACTATATATTACTTCCTCATTTTCTTCATAAATAATCTCCCAGTTTATATCCAGTATCAAAGATAGAAAATCAGATCTATTTTTTCCTAGGTATTGGGGTCTTGATTGTTTTTGGAGCTAATTGATGGATCTTCTTTCTCCTTGGTTTCTTAGCAAGGAGAACTAATGAAAATAAAAGGAAATGAAGAGTTTGCCAAAGAAAGATATGATATAGCTATTATCTATTACACCAGAGCCATTGAATATAGGTAAGAGCAAAATAGAACAATAAATTCCTTTGGATGTGGCAGATAAATTAGAATGCTAATCAGAAAAAATAAAAAGAAGATGAGAGACTGGAGAGTATCTCTCAGTTTGCTAGGCAGAGTTGATTTTCTCATCTGTAGCCGATAGAAGCGTTAGAGATGGCCCAATCAAATGGCATGGCTCACACAAGTCAGGCATCATTGTGCATTTGTTTCTGCCCTCCATTCTCTTTCAAGCTTTTCAATTCATAATTAGCCCTTCTGTTTTCTCATTTTGCCATCAACTAATTCCTTGCTAATTAGTAACTGATCAAAAAGGCTTAGCTCTTAATACTTACGATGCTGCCTTCCTAGAGGTTTTTGTTTTTTCAAAGAGGGAATTTCTTTCTTTTTTTTTTTTTTAAGATTTTTTAAATTTAACTTTATTTATTATTATTATTTTTAATTTGACCAGGGGGAGACCGAGAAAGGGTAGGAAAACAAGAAAGCAAGCTATCAGGTCTGGGAACTTCTAAAGGAACATTTGAAGTTTGGATTGTTGAGGACATGCATGTGTTTTCTCTACCTTGTCTTTTCTGCTTGGCTGGTAGGATTTTGTAGCTTCTATCCTGGTTTACCTCATCTGCTCCTTCTGAGAGCCTCCTAATAATTGGGTATTGGGGTCTTGATTGTTTTTGGAGCTAATTGATGGATCTTCTTTCTCCTTGGTTTCTTAGCAAGGAGAACTAATGAAAATAAAAGGAAATGAAGAGTTTGCCAAAGAAAGATATGATATAGCTATTATCTATTACACCAGAGCCATTGAATATAGGTAAGAGCAAAATAGAACAATAAATTCCTTTGGATGTGGCAGATAAATTAGAATGCTAATCAGAAAAAATAAAAAGAAGATGAGAGACTGGAGAGTATCTCTCAGTTTGCTAGGCAGAGTTGATTTTCTCATCTGTAGCCGATAGAAGCGTTAGAGATGGCCCAATCAAATGGCATGGCTCACACAAGTCAGGCATCATTGTGCATTTGTTTCTGCCCTCCATTCTCTTTCAAGCTTTTCAATTCATAATTAGCCCTTCTGTTTTCTCATTTTGCCATCAACTAATTCCTTGCTAATTAGTAACTGATCAAAAAGGCTTAGCTCTTAATACTTACGATGCTGCCTTCCTAGAGGTTTTTGTTTTTTCAAAGAGGGAATTTCTTTCTTTTTTTTTTTTTTAAGATTTTTTAAATTTAACTTTATTTATTATTATTATTTTTAATTTGACCAGGGGGAGACCGAGAAAGGGTAGGAAAACAAGAAAGCAAGCTATCAGGTCTGGGAACTTCTAAAGGAACATTTGAAGTTTGGATTGTTGAGGACATGCATGTGTTTTCTCTACCTTGTCTTTTCTGCTTGGCTGGTAGGATTTTGTAGCTTCTATCCTGGTTTACCTCATCTGCTCCTTCTGAGAGCCTCCTAATAATTGTAGCCACCTTTGGAAACATGCGACGTAGACTCTGCTCTCCTTCCTGCCTTGCCCATCTTCACAGGGAGGGAGTGAACCCAGCTAGCATGCCAGTTAGCATCTGAAAGTCTGCTGCTTTGATCTGGAAAAGACGAGGAGAAAGGGGAGAATAGGTACCACCACACACAGTCAGATAAAACTAAAAACAGAATTTGAAATGAACCTGTTTAAATTACTGTTGTACTTTGCAGGATCCCTTGAGTGAGTACTTCGTCAGGGTGGCACAGGGCTGATTCTGATGATAGTCCTATCTGCTACAGTTACAGCACACTACACTTGACTCGCTTTTTAGCAGGTCTCATTCAGTCGTCACAATAGTCCTGTGAGCTACACAGAGCAAGTAGAAGTCTCTTCATTTTGAATCCAGGGAAGTGTAGCTTGGTTTGATCAAGGTTACTCAGGTAGGAAGTGAAGGAACGGGGATATAGCTAGTTAAGAATGCAAATCCTGTATTCTTTATGCTCTGCCACACAGTTGTAAATTTTAAAGATTTTTTGATTTTGGATTGTTTTGTATATAATATACTTACTCAGTGTTATTTCTTCTTAAGACCTGAAAACCACCTTCTTTATGGTAACCGAGCTCTTTGTTTTCTCCGTACTGGACAATTCAGGTAAGTTGGCTAAAGCAGCCCAGTCACTACTGGATTATTATGCTAAATGTCCATTTTGGGGAAACATTTGTTTTGTAGGTATGCAAGAAAATCCTTGAATTGTTCCTTGACAGAAATAGTAAGTGGTTAAAAGGGGGCACTGTAGGTATTACGTGGAACAGCAGTGACAGCAGCAGCTGCAGATATGCTACACATTGTTTTAAGTGGTTTACAGATGTTGTTTACTTCTCATAGCATCTTTAAAAGTTAGATGATAGTATTCTTCACATTTTTACATGTGGACCAACTCATGCCCCAGTAAGTAGTGATGTCAAGATTTGAGAACAGATCTTATCTGATGATATCAGTCTATGTTTATAACACCTGTAATATACCGCTTTTCTCAGTTAATCTGTGTAGTTCTGGAAGAAGCTTTTTTTTTGGGGGGGGGGAGGTTTTTGCTATAGGGCGCATGCGCTCGCCAGACAGACAGAGACAGGGAGACAGAAAGCGAGAAATCACCCCCCGGGGGGATGGCCACACTGCAGTCCATTCTCCTCCATTCTCCTCTCAGGATCTTGGGCACGCACGCACACGTGCCCAGCGTGAGTTTTAAGCTACTGGGTCTGGGACGCAAACCACAGACGACTACGTGGGAGTCCAGCGACATAGCCATTACACTAACTGCTGGTCCCTGGAAGAAGCATTTTTGATTAATTTTTTCTCCTATTTATCTTGGTGTGAAAAAATTAAATGTTCTTCATAAGGGAAAGAAAGCGATTTAATGGTTAACTTTGAGAGTGAAATTATAGATAATTCTTAGTTCCTTATGTTAAATTTCACCTGAGAAATTTTTAGTTGTTGAGAAAGATGCTGAAGCATGATTTTTTTGTCCCTCAGTTTTAAAACTTTAGGCATTAGTTTAGGCATAAGTTATAAACATTAAGCAGTATAGACCATTACATTTAATTATGTTTTTGCATTACTATAAGAAGGATTTAGGGTAGACTCAAGAATACATTCACACAATGGAGGAATACTCAGAAGAAAATAAACTGGAAAACACTAACTAGAAGGTAGTGCTTGGGACTCAGAACAGAGCTCATAGGTATTAGTTATAATTTATATTTGTTCTGACCTTCTGTTCAAGATGCAAAGGGAAAACTTGACAAGTTACTTGATTATTATTCTCTGATCAAAGAAACAGGACAGCAACTACTTGAGTAAAACAGTGTTTTTTTGGTGTTTAGTTCTGAAAGAAAGTTCTTATACAGCTTATAAGTAATAATAATTGAATGACAGAGTAGAGAATCATCTCAACAACATTTCTGTTCATAGCAAAATCTTCCTGAAAATGCAGTTTTGGGTTTTACAAATAAGTTTTTTTTTGTCAAGTTTTCTCATGAAAATGAGTCTCACATCAGTTGCTTTTCAGTAGAAGCACTTATGTTGGGATGTGGAGGGTGGGACTGGGAAAGGTAGTATATTCCAGCCATGTAGCTTTTAAAAATAACTATTGTGTTTTTCTTTTATTATAAACAGAACACATTCTCATGGTAGAAAATTTGGAAAATACAAGAGTTTAAAAAGAAGAAAATAAAAATCACCAGTACTCCATCCACCTTGGAGAATACCGCTGTATTAACAATATGCAGCTTTTAGATGGCTTAAGCCGTGGATAAACCGAGGCTATCTAGACTAGAGGAATGGATGGGCTTGACACAGTCTTCCATCAATACCACTGTCCTCAACTGGTTCTGACAAGAAATGAGCTGCAAATGTCTTTAGTTTATTGCCTCTGGCTAGGTCCAGAATTGCAGATACTCTATGCTGTGTGAAGGTGAATCTGTATGTTTTCAAAACCAGATGAGTAGATTGGCAACTTGGCAGCCTCCTAGGAAAATCAGAGGCACCTATCTGAAACCTTGCCTGGTAAAAGGTCATCCATGCTCCAGCTCCGAGAGCTGAGAGGCAAACCAGAGTGTTTCTCCTCTCTTCATGAGTATTGTATATTAGATACACAAGGAGGAGCCTCCTGAACCTTGTTGCAGCAGGAGGTAAATCAAAGTAGAAATTCAGAAGCCAGGTGACTTGCTTGGTGGAGTAAAGGATAGAAGCAGGGATCCATTCGTCCTTGTGCCTCATTCCTGAAGGTCTAGCTTATGGTATCACACCATCTGTGTTTTTACTAGAGGCAGGTCAGCAGCATTGAGAATCTTTCATTCCTTATTAGGCAATCAACAATATGCTTTGAATGACTACTTTACTGTACAAAGTGTTGTGCCATATTGGTTTTACTGATGTTCCCTGCCTTCTAACACATTGTTCATTTAATTTGCTCAGTAATGGAAGAATAATTTCCATAGTATATGTAACTCCTGGTCAGTGACTAGATGATACAATTTAAAAACATGTTGCCAGTAATTCATATATGCCAGTGATACAGAAGGACCCATGCCCGAGCAGTGCTTTAAGCCGTTACCAAGGTTAAGGTGTTTTGAAACTCTCACATCAGAGGGATCTGCCATGAGAACCTGGCTGAGTTCCTGCAGGGCCAACTGTGGGTAAAGCATTCAGCATCCTCCAGTTTGGGCAAGGATGCTTTTCTTAGTTGCTCCATAAGGCCTGGTGTCCTACCTGCTGTTGAAAAGTGAGGACTGAGTTGTCCAAAGAAAATAGAAATGGAACATTTTCAATTAATACTGTAAAAAAGAAAGGAATAAAAAGATCAAAGTTATGAATGCCAACACTTTTGCAATAATTTAATCATAAGAGATTCAAAAATATGTATTGAAACATTAAAAGAAACAGATTGAATTTTAAAAAGATAACTTTGGCAGGATTACCATCTAAAGGGTAAAACTAATACTATTGTATCTTACCACATGTCTGGCACTGTTCTAGACACTTTACATGTATTAACTAAGAATGTCCTCACAACTACGTGAGGTGGGTGGTACTGCCTTTTCACACAATGAAACTGAGCAACTGGAGCCAAGCAAAGTGTCCACAGGTACTAAGTGGATATGATAGAGACAGAATTCGAACCCATGCAAGCTGGATGCAAAGTCTTTATTATTTATCATTATGGAGAAGTGATGCTAGAATGAAAAGAGAATGTGAAAAAATTAAGAAATAAATGGTCCAAATAGTCAATAAACATTTATGAGAGAGTGATTATCCTTACAGGTCATGCAGATTTAAAACTATGAATTTCTCTTTCATGTCCATCTGACTGGCAAAAGTTTAAAAGCCTCTTAATGTCAAGTGTTTGAGAGGATGTGGAACACAGGAAACTTCCACACTCGACTGGAGAAAGTATAATTTGATTCAGTCACTTTGGAGAGCAATTTGACAAGGTGAAGATGTGCACATTCTGCAGCACACGACTAGGCTTATGCCTTCTAAACTCTCAGATGTACCCAAGAAGATGTGTGCAAGCCTTCATAATAGCATTGTTTGTGAGAGTAAACAAATGGAAGCAACCTAAATGTCCATCAGTAGGGGAATGGATAAATAAATGATGGTATATTCATACAATGGAATTCTACATGGTAGATAAAATGCAATGTTGAATGAAAAAGCAAGTTGCAGAATGATTTGTATACTATGATGCCATTTATATGTTTTAAAACATGCAAAACAATATGCAAACCCATACTTAATACAGGATATGTATTTAAAATGTTTTTTAAATGCATAGGTGTGTTTAAAAAAACAGAGGAGTGGCTGTCTTTGTGGAGAGAAGGGGAGAAAAGGGTTGAAGATGGGAGGACTGGTACACAGTGGATGTAAATTGTAACAAACTTCTGCAAAAAGAGCTGAAGTAAATATGGCAAAATGTTCATTTCTTGCTAAGCTGATAAAGTCGGTACATGGGTGTCCATTATTGTTAATGTTAATCTCTTCTTTCATGTATACTTGAAATTGGTAAAAAGTAAAGAAGGAATTAAAAATGCATATAAGAGGGGGAAGAACCAAAAACGACAATTATTAAATGTCAAGGAAAGAAGTATTTTAAGGCCAACAATGTGGGGGGTGGGTGTATGAAGTGAGGAATGTGTGGGGAAACAGATGCTTCATTTATAAATGGTCAGGGTGGCAACAGCTGTGATTTTAATGCCAAACTATAGCTTGTAAATCAGACAACCTTTGGGTGGATATAGGTGAGGCCGAGAGCCAGTCAAAACCCCTCTGGTTTTTATGTATTGTGTTTGGGCAATATGGGAGATAGGGTTGGAATGAAGGGTAATGGGGGGAACCACACTGCCTCCTGGCTCCTTTGGCCTAATCTGCTGCTACAACTTCTCTCCGTTGAATCCTTTAGCCTGAGGAATGTGTGCAGAGTATCCCAAGATTCCTGGCTCGAATAAGATGCCTCTTTTTTATTTTTTTTAAGATGCCTCATTTATTCTGATCTTCGAGAAGTATGTTTTTTAAATACAACTTTGTTACAATAGGGTATTTTAGGGTGAAAGTTGTAATCAGAAATGTTCAGTTTATTGGAGAATCTTTAAAAAGGAATCAGGCATATCTTTAACTTCTGTAGTTATAGCAGCTGACATAATGTATATGATTAGGTTTTGCCCGGGTACTGTTTAATTCATTCTCATGGGATTCAGATGTAGAAAATGCTAATTCTTTAGTGGGAGGTGATATACTGTATAAGGGGAAATAGAATTGGAGAATGACAAAGCTTAGCCTTGATTTTTTTTTTTAATTTACTTTGGAAAACCATGGAATTTTTAACCTTGAGATTTACTTGACCTTTTGGTGTTTAACTATTTGCATCTCATGAAATTATCCTCCATGAGATCCCAACTGTGATTAGTAGCAGGCAGATTCAAAAAGTTTTATAATGATCATTTATGGATACATTGAGGTTTTTTGTTCTGTTTCCCCCCATAATAGCTAGAGCAAGAGAGAGGTGCGTGTGTGTGTGGGGTGAACACCCCTAACATGGTCTGCAACCCCCTTCCTTCCAGGTCTCAATTTTCTCAGGATCTTGGGCACACACCTGT